AGGATAATTCGAAAATTATGACATTTTATCGGTCCGTCAAGTTTCAACCATAGATGACAGAGAAAGGTTAAATAATTTTAACTCATCTGTCACTAAACATCTGTTTTTGACCCCTAACGTTATTTTAAGATAATTTATTTTCAAATATTTTTATATTTTTTCAATTTCAAGATTGTAAAACGAAAATATTACGTTTGTTATGTGAATAATGTTTTACTGTTAAGTTTTTATTTAATAAGAATAACGAAAAAAAAAAAGAAAGCACAAACAAAAAAAAATAAAACTAGAACTAAAAGGACCTGCTTTTTTAAAACTATACATTTTAATGTATATTAGGGCTAGTATAGGGTTGCCATAAGCGGATCATCGGTCACCGGGACATTTTTGTAAAAATGACCATAACAATCGACAAATAAGTTAGGATTAGTGAAAATATATAATAATGGTGGGTTCGAAAAAGTTTAGTTTTGTTTTGACATAAAATGTGAAAAAAATACTCAACTAATTAATTTTTTTTGTTAAATAATAAGAAACTTAAAAAATTACCAAACTCTTTGGTTTAAAAAAAAATCTCATTAATCATTTTTCTTTCGCATGCCAATCTTTTTTTTCAGATTTGCTTACTTGCCTTAGTAGTTCCGGTTGACTTTTCACATACCTACTTATAAAATTCTGAACAGGTGATGTTAAAATTTACTTTGCAAAACATTATACTTTCAACAGTTTTTAAAGAAAGCCTATTTCGCTCTTTGGTCCACTGTGAAACTAACAAAGAGAAAATTCTGTCAACACCTGCATTATGGCCAGGAACATATCTAATCTAATCTAATCTATTTATATTGGCACATCAAAAGTAAATTTGCCTTTTGCTCTTTAATACCAGTTTGCTGAAAAAAGAACAACCATTTATCATGCATAGATTTAGCATTCCAGACCGGATCATGTTCTAATTTAGTAATGAAATCTTTCAAGTACAATACTTCTTCAAAACAACAATCATTGATGGTTATACCTTTTTCTTGTAAATAGGATATAGTTTTTTCAACTTCTTCCCATTCTGGTCATCCATGAAAAAACATTGACTTTGACGAGAGGAGCACTCCACTGTCGTAAATATATATTATAATAATCCTTAATTTCACCGTCAAATAATTTTATGGTATCAGTAAATTGAGGGTCTCTTTTAATTTTGTCGTAAAGTAAAAAATAACCAACAATCTGATAGCTCTGTTTAACAAAGCGTCTTATGTTCTGTGCGCTCTCGTTTATCTTCCACTACTCGCTTCACAACAATGAGTAATTGCAAAAAAAAGTTCTAGAATTTTGATATATTATGAAGTTAGGTAGCTGGTGGCATCAGACCGGGACATTTGAAGCCCGAACCGGGACACCGGGACAAAGCTCTTGAAACTGGTGACATGTCCCGGTGTACCGGGACGTATGGCAACCCTAGGCTAGTATATTCTTTTTATAAGGTATATTTACCTACCTTTAAATTTATTAGACAGCTAACTCACAGAACATGAGCTAACTGTTAAAGTTACAATTGTTGACATAATTGTAACTATGACAATTAAGCATTAGGTAAATTTAGTAAGTGAATATACTGACACTTAATTTCTAGAGATGGGAATCGGAAAGTTTCCATTTTAAGGAAACTTTCCGTTTTGGAAAGTTTCCAATTGGGAATTTATTTTCATTTTGAAAGTTTCTTTTAAGCTACCGGAAACATTCCTTGGAAACCAAAGAAGGTGTTCTTTGTTGGAAACTTTCCTTGTTTTTTTCATTTAAATGTCAATTGTTTAACCGCTGATTTTCGTTAACGCCATGATACAAGGCCAAGAAACTTTGAATAAGAATTTAATGTGTGTTGATTTAAAGCAGAAGAAGAAGTATAAATAATTTAAGTTATGTTACATAACCTCAATGAATAAAAAAGGTAAACAAAATAAAAACAATAAACAAAGTTAAAATCATTCTTACATTTTTGTTGTTTATTTATAGCATTTATAGCACAATGCCAAGAAAAAAATGTGTTTGGAATTATTTTTTACTTTACTTTTTACTTTTCAATATTAGTTACTTCCCATACAGCACAAGATGTCCAATGGACGTCAAATGGATTTACATTGGACGTTTGGATGTGTTTGGATATATGTGCTGTGTGGGTTTGTCCCTTTTAATTTTTTTTACGTAATATCTAGGATTTACTAGCAGTGAATTTCTAATAGTAAACATTTTATTTTTATTTTGTAGGTTTCAGTATACAATAGGAATATTCCAAAGTAAAAGATACTAAAAATAGTATTGCAGTTACATAAACATTTTTTTTAATTTTTTTCTTAAAAAAATTTGACAAAAAGTTAATGTGTTATATATTTTTGCAAATCCATGGCATAAAAAAAATATTTTCGCAATAAAAAATCTTTTTTTGAAACTTTCGGAAAATTTCGGGAATTTTCGATGGAAAGTTTCCGGGAATTTTCGTCAAATGGGAATTTTCCCATCTCTATTAATTTCTATTTGTCGCAAAATCAATCCGTTAAACGTCATTAAAAAACGTATGCATGAAAATTAGAACATTTCTTATCGGACGATTTTATTGAAAAACTGACATACGGATGACGGACAAACGGATACATGAAAATTAAGCTTTAATAATATGATTTCATTAAGAAGTAAGAAAAGAAAATACTGTAAGATATCATATAACTAAAGTCTTATTTATGATACCTACCCTTAGTAGCTTCTCCCAGATAACATTTATGAATCATTAAAAAATCACTCAGTGATAATCATCGCGTGAGCTCACAGTGAACTCACTATGACATCAAATGCATTTCTGTGAATTCACCTGGACCTCACCTGGAGCTCATTAGCTGAATCATTGCTGAGCTCATTTGATGTCATAGTGCCATAATTTAAATGAATAACCTTAAGGTTTTTCTCTGAACTATGCAAGTGCATAACAGTGTTGCCATGGTATCAGAGCTGTGCGGTACTCGAGTACTTGTACTCAAATTTTGTACTTTAAGTACTTTTTATGTACTCGGTACTCAGTCCAGAGTACATTTCAAAAAAGTTCTTGTACTTGTACTTATTTAAATTAAAAATTTAAAAATGGACACGAGTACATTGGTTGTACTCGAGTACATTTTTTGTACTCGAGTACATTTTTTGTACTCGAGTAAATTTTTTGTACTCGAGTACTTTTGTTGTACTCGAGTACATTTAATGTACTGGAGTACTTTTTGTACTCGGCATCTTTGTGTTAAGTTAACATATATGTTATATGTTATAACCACTACTACATATTCAAATTTATCGCCATAATTACAAAGCTTTAGCATGCTAAATATATGATAAATGCATGTTACTTTAATTTAATTTCGTGCTTGCAGTTAAATAATGTTTAGGCTATTTATTAAATAAAATATATAATAAATTACTTGCATGAAGAGGTATACCTATAGGTAGGTATATATAGGTAATAAAGGTTATGTAAAAGAATAGTTAATCTATTTTAATATTATTTTTTTCTGTTTAAAATCGAAATAATTGGTTATTTGGAAAAAAAATATTCAAAACATAAATAAATACGTGTATTAAATAAATATAAAAATGCAGTTTTTTTTAAATATCCCTAAGTGACCTAAACCTGATATTTTGTTATGATTAACTTTTAACAACTTTTTTTGCTAGATACTGAAACCTAAATTACATTTTAAGAGTTTTTGGAAAAAGTACTTTTTACTTGTTACAGTACAGCTGTACTAGTACTCGTGAATACTTTTGGATTTTTTTGTACTTTGTACTCAAGTATTTTGAGTACAAAGTACAAAAAAATCCAAAAGTATTCACGAGTACTAGTACAGCTGTACAATTATACTTTTACTCGAATACTTTTTTCTTGTACAGCTCTGCATATATATACTATAGTATATAGTATACTATTAATTAATAGTACCCACACAGAACACTTAAGTCATTCTGCATGACACAAACTATTTTTAAATGATAATAATATCATATAATATTATATTATTTAACCAACTTGGCACTTAGACCCTTTGAAAATACAATGCTTCAATTACGTCCTTGGGTCGTACCCAGTATATCCGCTATAATTTTCCCAAATAAGTAAGAGACTGGACGTACCCAAAACTTCCGATATAGGTCTAGGACGTTCGGACCTATGTGGGACCCGAAATGGACGTCCTGGGTACCTCTTGTGCTAGTTTGTCGACAATTAATTACGTCAATGAAAATTTACACTTATAAAATTTTATTAATAAAGCTAATCGCAATTGCTTCATGTTTGATCGATATATCGGTTTGCGCACTTAGAAACTGCTTGGGAAATATTTACCGATCGGAAAATACACGCCAATGTCGCGGTATAACACAGATGTAAATAGGTAAATCGGAATCTCTGCTTAGAATTAAACCTAATTGGAATCGAGATAGTGACGATTAATTGAATTGGGAAGCGATGAGCGCTAAAGAAGAGTCGGCGAAATTGTCCGACTTAAATAAGAAAATTTTGGAAATCAAGAAAAAAATACAGTTATCAGGTACTTAATACAGAAACTTGATACTTCCCTTAATTATGACGTTGGTAAAAAACATCTCAAGATAACAAGTGTTAATTTTTGTCACCCTCCTACCATATTATGTTACTTCCTTTCGGATATAAATGTCTAAGTAAATTAAGTAAACTTAATTTTATTTGATCTAAATTGGTATCACTGATTTAATTTATCCAGTTTATTCAATTTCCTGTAGACAAATTAAGAATTATTAGATTTATGGTAATATGTGTAAGGTTCACAGTGTAACCCTATTTAGGTGACCTTTATGCATTAACCAAATTATGTTCTGTGCAAATAACTTGCAATGTTTTTGTAAGTATTGTAATTACCCATACTACCTATCAATTTTTATTTTAAACAATGGCCATGCATAGCCGTCTTCTCTAAATGAATTTGATTTACATTTAATATAGCAATACCTACTTGTAAACACAGGGCCAGCAAAAAGATTTTAGCCTATAGTTATTAACTATTATAGTACAATAGTTGTTTAGAGGTTCTAAAAACAAAACTAGTAGTTAGTACACTCTGTGGTAGTTTGTATTGCATGATATATTTGAGGGTCGAATTAAGTTTTTTTATAATTTGGCCAAATTTGCAGGTGGTTACTCAGGAGTAATTTAAATTTGAGGATTTCAGGTGTGTAGTAGTACCCATCGTACCAACCTTTGCCGCCGGCCCTGTGTATAAACATAAAACAAATATTACTGTAAGCAAAAATGAAACGAGTGATTTTCTGTGAGAACCGCAATTGTGACAATCTAAATATAAACAAAACATGAAAAATAGTAAATTCTCACATTGCATCCAGTTACTTTTATGTATAGGTGACGGGTTCTTATATGAATTGAGCAACTTTTTGTGTGAACTTGTTACCTATTTGATTAATCACACATATAATTCAGAGATTATTTTATTAAACCAATTGTTTTTATTTGGGTTATTTTCAGTAGTTTTCGTATTTGTCCTGATATTAATAATATACTCCTTACACAAACGTTTTTTAATCATATAAATGCAAAAAAACCTTACCTTTTAATAATAATAAAGCGGTTAATATAAAAAAAAATTGCCTGTTATATAAGATCTATTGTGTTATTAAGTGTACTAATGTTTATTTTTATAAAATAGTGTACAATCATGGCAGAGAGGTGTCTCTCTGTAAACATTTTAGTTTTTTGAGACAAATAAACTGTTTTTATTATTATTAATAATAATAATTATTATGTTGTGGAACTATAAGAACAAATTTAAAAAAGGCCATGACTGTACTTTTGAATATTATTAATATACGAGTATATTTCTTATTTTTTATACAAATGGATATTTACAGACTAAATTAAGCTAAAAATGTTTTGAATTGTCTAAAATCTATGCGTATTTAATATTTACAGGTCTAGCATTAATTTGAATTTAATATGTACATTTTATATAATTATTATAGTGACGGCATCTAAAACTGGCAGTTATAAATCCTAGGTTTAAAATATTACACAAAAAGCAAAATAAATAATTTAGTACATGATAATACACTGGTTAAAAATAATATGCCTAAACTAATAATTTGAGATTACATAAAAATGAAAATAAATAAGTTAACAAACAGGTCCAGATTAGGGTGTCTTCAGTCTTCAAAGATATTAATTGCATAATTTAGCTTATTTATGGCTTGAACTTAACCATAGGTATATTTTTGGAATGGAGACATTTATCACATACCCATTCTGCATAAACTTCAGCTGTTAGCATTTGATAGGCCCCCTCTGTTAAACCAGTACATCCCCTGTGAAACCAAAAGTTGCATCCACTTTCACATAGTATTGCTTGATCATTGTCATGAACCTCTTTGTGGCAGACTCCACAAGGATAAATTGGAGGTGCATTTGGATTTTGAGAATTAAAAACCATTGGTTGATCAGATGGGTAAATTTTTCCTGCACTCACAGGCATTGGTTTTGAATACATATTATTCATAGGTGACATCATAAAATTATTGTTATTCATGGACTGTGGAGGACCACTCATGGGGCCATTTGGGGCTGTCATTGGCATTCCTCCTGGACCATGGTTGCCCATTGGTCCATTATTTCCCATTGGTCCATTATTTCCCATTGGTCCATTATTCCCCATTGGTCCATTATTTCCCATTGGACCATTGTTTCCCATTGGTGGACCATTCATGGGGTTGTGCATATCACCATTCATTGGCCCTCCATGACCCATTGGGCTTCCCATAGGTCCATTGGGACCAGGTCCCATTCCTCCAGGTCCTTGCATTGGTCCCATTCCCCCAATTGGACTGTGCATTGGTGGGCCGGTCATTCCATGCATGGGTCCATTAGGACTTACCATCATGTGAGGTGGTCCATGGCCATGTGGTCCCCCATGACCATGTGGTCCTGGACCTGGACCTCCAGGTCCTGGCCCACCAGGTCCTGGTCCTCCCATGTGTTGCATCCTGGGTCCATTCATCATCATGTGACTGTTCATCATTGAATTAGGATGTGCATTGGGACTATGCATCATTGGGGAGCCCATACCCATTCTAGGTCCCATAGGTCCACACATATTCATATTATTTACACCTGGAGGCATTCCAGGCATGTTTGCACCAGGTGGAGGTCCTTGCATTGGACCACCCATTCCCATAGGGCCAGAATTTCTTACCATACCCATGGTATGGTGTCCCATGGAACTGGGACAATCATCAAAGGGATTCGATGCCACAATAGTATCTCCATAACCAGATAATGGAGGGGGTAGCAAATCTTGTATGTTAGTTGGTGGTGGCCCAGAATTTTGTACATTTTTTCTCCTTTTCTTGGGATTTGCTACACTACTTGGTAGGTCCATGTTAGGAACATTCATACGGAATGGTGACATATGACTCATTGTTGGGATTAGGTATCTATGCTTAACCTTAACCACTTATATTTTTAAAATTATTAGATGCACATACTCTCTAAACATAATACTGTTGAAACTTCTGCCTCATTCTTGATTATTGATTACAAATAAAGTTTTATTACATTCATAAACTTAAATAAGGTTATGTTGAAGTAATTCATTTCTTGTGTGCCACATATTCATTGGGATTTTTGTACTTTGCGTTTGGAATATCACAATGCCTATTTTATTGATAAATTGCACTCTGGGGTTTCTGCAAATAAAATAGGCTATTTTAAAAAGTGCATATAAAATTGACAGATTTTTTTAATTTTTAAACTTAAACCATAAATAAGAGGCAGTGGACAGTCCACTATAGACTATAAAAGAGTTATAATACAATAATATACTTACATGGCAGAGATATCACTTTTTGGGGTTTTTATTATTTGATTGATTATTTATTTTGCAAACAACCCTAAATAAAAAAAATATAAAGAAACGCTACCTGTAATACCGGTAAGAAGCCCATGAAAATGGCGCGAGTTTTAAAAAATATTCCCTATTTAAAAACATAAGTAAATTTATCTTTATAACAATATAAGAACATGTTTATATTAATAAATTTTATATCTAATGCACTATTTTAGAGGGTCAACGAAAGGCATTATTTGAAGATTGCGAAGACGAAAGAAAAAGTAATTCAGATGATATAATAAAATTAAAAAAAGATTTATCTGAACTGACTGTATCCCTTCATGAAAATACAAATACGTCTGCTTATTACAGAAATAAACAACAAAACAGACTTATTGAAAAAATTATAGGACCGTTAGAGGAAAAAAATTGCACACAAGTTGAGGATTTGTTGGATTTACAAATAATTGATAGATCAAAGCAATTGGACCTATTACGTTACGAAATTAAAGAGGTTTTATAATGTATGTAATAAAATAAAAATAAATTAATTTTTTTTAGAGAAAAAAGAAGCTAGCCAAGATAGGGGAGCAATTTAAAGCTTTAAACACCAAAGTTGATATTAGACTTTTGAAGGAAAAAGTAGATTTGCCAGTAAAAAAGGTAAAAAATAAATACGTATTGTGCACACAATAATTTTATTAATAACGCAATATTTTACTTAGTCAACTTGTGAGTTACATAATAATATCCATGCAGTTGATCTTCAAATTCGAGAAGCAGGCCATATAAGAATGAAGTACATGGAAATTAGAAAATCATTAAAAGATGATTCAGCTAAATTTGAAAGCAGCATTGAAAAATTAAACAAGGAAATTAATCAACAAAAAAATAATATAAATAAATTGCAAAAGGTATAGGTATATTTATTAATTAATAAAATGATTTTCTAAATCATCTATAGATATTAAATGAAGCGATCAAAATGAAAACTTCAGCAAGAAAGAAGTTGCACCAAGAAGAAAAAATAATCGCCTCCTATGCTTATCAACGTGAAAAAGAAGTTATGGAGGGCAAAAAACTTATAAATGATAACAAGCAAGAATTGGAAAAGCTGGAAAAAAGAATCTATCAGGGTGGGAAATTGCTGGCTAGGCCAGAACCTGAAAATGTCGAAGAGGGAGTTCAAGAGGAGGAAAAACCGGAAACTCCTCCACATCAATGCAAGGCACTAGCGCAAGATTTTGAAATTCTTAACGCTGCAACCGGAAGTACTTCTATAGAAGAAGTTTTACATAGGTTTAGATCGCAAAAAGAAACCAATGACAGACTAATGATGCTACGCGTACAATCAGAAAATGATAAAAGGAGATTGGAAAGGCAAAAGGCAGCATTTGATTCTCAATTGGAAGCTTTTAGATACGCTGAAGTTAAAGATGCTGAAAGGTATTTTTTTTCACTTATATAGTTATTAATATTTAAAAAAAATTTTTTTAGAAAATCTTGTAAATTGGAAGAAATACAAGAACAAATTAAAAGTGAACGTGAGAAAGAAAAGACATTTAAAAAATTGATGGACAAAAAATCTGATGGCATGAAGGTGGTAATATGCGGTTTGCGGTCACTATTTTTTAATATGAAACCAGCGAAACCGCCCAAAGAAGACGAAGATGCCTTAATTATTATAGAAAACATTAAACAATACTTAGAGGAAATTTTACAAAATCATAAAAATGTTAATGTTCCAAAAGTTATGGAAAAACAAGAAAATGTAATCACGTAAGATTCTTAATACAATTAAATGCATTACATCTTTTGTTTTAGGTTCCAATTGACGTTGACGATGACAAATGGTTGCCTACTCCATATACAAGTCTAGTTACAAGAACACCTATTCCCCAACAAGGACCCTCACCAGCTCCTCCCCCACCTGGGGGTAATAATGTTTTTTTGATGTTTTTTTAAATTTAAAAATCAATATAATAAAATTTTAGGTTCTGAAGATGAGGAAGACGTTCCTTCCAGATGTTACCTAAAACGTCAAGCTCAACTAGTGGTAGACGCAAAGACAAGAAGAAAAAATTTAAGAGTGACCCTTGGAAAAACCAAATAACCCAATCTACAATTATTTTTACCGTTCGTAATATTTTAGTAAAAGGTTTTAAACAACAATGAAATCTTAGTAGTTACTTTATTTAAATTAACTTTAAATATAAAATACAAATTTTGGCTGTTGGTATGCATTTAAAATACATGTTTTAAAAATTTGTTTATAACTTAAAATAATTATGTTAAGTAAATATATATACAAATCTACATTTTTAGACGATGTTATTGTATTTAATAAAAGAACAATGAACTATAGTCCAGGAATATTTCGATGATATAACAACATATGAAATAAAATAAATCAGTCTCATTAAGCTAAGAAATTGGCTACATATAACAAAATAATGGAACTAAATCTACAATAATAAAGTCAATTACATTGAAATAAAATTGTTAAAAAATAAAATTATTATTTTTCTTATTTAATTAATATGCCTGTAATTAATGTGCCTTAACACAAATTAGAAAAAAATAGAATATAATGTTTAGAATAAACAAATTTAAAATTAATTAATAAATAAGGCCACATTTGTACCCTGTGTGCAATAAAATTAATAAAGAAAAATAACAATTTTATTTTTAATTTATTCAATATACATTCGAACTTTGATAACTAAAATTATTGATAACTCGAATTAAATTGGTTGGCAATAACGTCAAGAGTAAGAATTATGTGCAATTTAATAACTCTTGATAACTCAAAGTTTTTTTGTAGAGTCATGGTTCGAGTTATCAAAGTTTGACTGTACTTAATTATGACATATCTACACATTAAAAAATAATATTTGTATAATGGTAAAAAGAAAATAAAGGGTATACATAAGAAAATGTTAAAAAAGCTAAAAATACAAGAAAAAATAGTCTAAACAAAATATTTATTTAAATTATTTTTCTTTGCTTAGATCACAAATTTAAATTTTAAATATTTTTTATTTCAGATAATTTTAATTCATTAAAACAATAATAAAAATTAAAAATTCCAACATTAATACGCGCAACAATAGAATTTGTATAAGTAATTAATTCAAGAAAGGCAATTATTTCACAAAAATACTCAAGCCACATTGTATTAAATATTACTTATTTTAATATTAAAATAGTGGCAGTGACTTTAATTTGGCAGTTTTATTTGTTTTTCATTTGGAATTTATTTGTTATTCAAGATGTTAGTATAACATAGTTTTTTTACAGTATGATAAAAAATGGAAGACAACCACTTCAGTATTTTGTTGGGCACATAATAAATAATTTATTTATATCATTTTAAAAAAGTTGACAAATATTTATACATGGACACCTTTCACTTGTTTTGCCAACAATTATTTTTAATTTTAATTAATAAACAAGTTACATTTGCAAAAAGTATCCTTTTTTTAAATACGTTAAATATCAAATAAAATTGGCTTTAAATTTTTTGCGGTAGTTAAATAAAATATTGTGGGCGATTATTGGTCAAAAGAGGAGATTTCACTCACGTGTCACCGCACGAGCTTAAGAAACTCCATGTTAAGAAATCTCTTTCTTACACTAGTCGCACAATGCACTATTATTCAACACCTGCAAGAAATATGTAACTTTGTGACCCTTTTGAGGGTGGGCGAAATAATAAATTTCCTAATTGTTCATTTCTTAACTTGAACTTGTGGGCGAAATAGCCAATGAAGTAAACTTAGCTTTAAATTAAAAATATGTCTGACAAAAGTCAAATGTAAGATAAAGTATTAAATAAAATTGGCTATTAATTCCTTGCGCCAAAATTGTTTCTGTTCTTTACTTGTTCATAATTCGTAATATTGGTCGAAAAAGGAGAATCCATTCGCGTGGCTAACTTTACGATCAAGGAATCTTCTCTTTCTCGCACTAGTCACAATAAACCATTTCCTAATGTGATAAACCTATAAACATTAATTTTAGTATAATAATTGAGGAGCAGACTTCCAAAATACTTTCAACTTTTAAGAAAAATATGGCTTTCTGTTCTTGAAACTAAGGCGAATTTTTTAACGGTACCCTTTACATTCTGAACGCGTCTAGTCCTGTAAATGTAAATCTTCGGTTAAAGGGGCCCTGGACATTCAAAGTGCATTTGGTCCTATACACATAAACTACCAAAACGCGTTTTGTACTTTTCTAGGCCAGTGTTGCCAGATAACACCGTGCAATAAAATCACCAGGAAAGTAAAACCTTTATTCTGAAAGTGGAGAAGTACGTAAATTAGGGGTGGAGTGGACAGCTGTTTACAATTTAAAAGCAGCTTTGACGTCTTAAAATAAAATTTATGGCATCAGCAAAGCAAATCAATTAAAAGGACATGAAGTCTCCGTTATTTCCAAAAAAACTGAGTTTTCTATGCTTCAGACAATCAAAGAGCATTTAGGTTCCTTCCTTTTGCAGATTTCTGAAATTCTTAATGGATAAATATTTTTAAGGGTGAGTTATTATTACAGGACTTTTTTTAATTTAATGGCTTCTTTAATTCTGCTCGAAATATATCAGTTACTTTACACGAGACTTTTGTGTTTCCTGAAAATAATGCAATTTGCACAAAACGCATTTTGGAAGTGTGCTGCTCAATAATCGTATTAGGTTTAATTAAGGGCCCAAAACAACACACTGAAAAGTTTGTATATCATTTTTATCTTCCTGTATTTTAGTTTGATAAATTACAAATATTTTTTTTAGTAGAGTAAGGAACTAGACACAGAAACAACCAATCATTTTTCACCTTAAGGCAAGGTCCTTATTTAAATATATGAATCCTAATTGGATTTAAAATTATTAACACATTACTTTGGTGGTTTGATCTAATACTATACAGTAGAAAATTGTATATATTGTTCTCATACCTTTAATGGACAGTAAGTCACAATGGTAAATAAATAAAACCAAAATATGCCTAAAATTATTTGTATGGGGCAGTTATATTGTATCCTTACCTTATAAAAGTTTAAAGAAAACCTAAACAATCAAAGGCAAATGTTTATTGAGTACAGTCTGCATCCAAAAATATCGTTTGCATCTATTTAATAAGTGTTCAGTGTAAAAATATTGTGATTATTATGTCAATTATTTTGCGAAACAAAAATTCATTCAGTCATTGTGTCCGCCGCAACAAATTCTAGGCAGTATGTTTAGCGCACAATGTTATAAATAGAAAAAATAATGATAGGCAACGCTTTAGTATCAGCATTCACAAGGTCTAATTGATGGATGGGAGGGAAGGTCATTCAGGTCATCCCGTTGGAGGGACCCTCCCACTCTATCAGACACTCCATTTTACCCGCGGGTCCTATCCGTTTTGCCTTGACCAAGAACCGCTCGCCAGCCGCAATCCGGTTAGCCGCGCCGAAATAAATGTTTACAGACGACTTTAGATCATCCATTGATATGTCGGGTTCCTGTTTAACCGGACTAGGTTTGGGTGTAGGAGGATCGATCGATTTCTCCTTTTCAGACGGCTTTTCCGGTCTTTGCCTCAGTCTAAAACAAATATCAAAAAGGGATTTATATATTTGTTTGTTTATATTCAAGAAGTTGTTTTTATTATATTAATATATATATATATATATATATTTAATTAATCTAAATTATTTATTATACATTGGGTAAGGCCGTATTACAGCCGGCAATTCTTCTTGCAGCAATTTTTCTTGCTATAAGTGTTCAAGGCCGTATTGCATGTTGTTTTACAGCAGGTGTTAAGGCGTATGTATCTTGATTTAGGTCAGCAATGGCAAGACAACTTGTTGTTTATTACCGAGCTACCAACCAAAGAAAAATATACGATTTTGTTAACACTAAGTTTATTTGTTATTTAGTAGATATTTAAAAATTAATTAGTAAAATGGATACTAGGGAGTAGGGTTGGTAAGTTACCAAATCTCATCCCAGAATTGCCGTTAATAAAAGTCCATCCGGACCGATGTTTGCAATTGCAAGAGATTCATCGAAATGTCTCTACCGCGCGTGCCTACGGCAATTTTAATGGAAATTGCTGAAAGAATTGCCGGCTGTAATACGGCATGTACATTTAAAATTGTGTTCACCTGGTGCTCTAAAACGACTTATTTTGTTTGCAACCTCAGTAGGTACACGCCCAGAACATATTTCAATAATTTATTATTTATGAATGAAAGATTTATTAAACATTTAACAGAATGGTTTTTTCCTATATCTGTACCCCAGAACCACTTTTTTTTAAATCACTTACAAATTTTCTGCCTACGTTTTTTCGCTCTTTCCAATAGTAAACAAGATTTACCAGTTGCGTCTCTGCACACATGATATTTTTACTAGGGGTGTGCGAATAATTCAAACTTACAAATTATTCGTTCCGAATTTTCCGAATTTCCGAAATTTCCGAATTTTTTTCGAATAATTCCAATTTTTTTTTTGAATTATTCGTAAACTAATATATTAGCGAATTTTCGAGTATTTTGAATTCAGGGTTTCTTATGTTCAATATTCAAATATGAATTTAACAGTCAATATACATTTTATTCAAACCATGAAATATAGTTACACAAATAGAACAACAAGTATAGTTTTTTTTAAGAGAATGAAATAACAGAAATTATATTGTAGCAAATAAAGTACTATGAAAAATACAACATTTACAAATTTTTGTGCAAAAATAATAATAATAATAAAACGTCTTTATTTAACGAGGCAAAGTCTAGCTAGGGCTATAAATATATAATATAAATATGGTACTGAAACATTACATGAGTAACCTTTTTCTTATAGATTTTTTTCTCTCTGGGTAATTGAATAATAATAATAATAAATGAACTTTATTGCAAAAAAAAGTTAATACAATTTCTTACAAATGGCCATTGACCGAGGTCCTTCAGCTGGTGAACATATCTTAAATATATGTAAAAAAACAAAAAAAAAAGTATAATCGTGAAACTGAAATTAATTGATAATTGATTTTTTAACGAAAAGTATATTATTCGTAAGTAGAATATTTCGATACAAGATTTAAAGGAATTTAAATGGAAGCAATTAAAAATCCAGAGATATTTCAGTATTTCGCGAATTATTTGAAAATTTTAGTTATTCGAAATTTTTGAAATTTTTCGAATTATTCGAAATTTTTCAAATTATTCGAAATTTTTCAATTTATTCGAAATTTTTCGAATTATTCGAAATTTTTCGAATTATTCGAAATTTTTCGAATTATTCGAAATTTTTCGGGTTATTCGATTTTTTTCGAATTATTCCTAGAATTTCGAATAATTCGAAAATTCAAATTATTCGACTCAAATTTCGAATCGAATATCAATATCTCTGAATATTTTTCAATTGCGTTTCCGAAAATAAAATTCAAATTTAAGCGGCCTAGTATTCCGAAAGCTTTCCATAAAATTCTTTAAAAAAAATGGGCAAATCTTATCAAGAAGCGGAGTAAATATATACTTTTCCTATCAGTACGCACCAAATTTGGAAATAATATCCAAACTAAATTAATTTTTTAAAACCCTGTTGCAAAAAATTAAAGTGCTTTACGACACATGTCCCCAGGGCTAAATATGCTCGTCTTGGCGTGGCCTACGACCCCTTTATTAGATTGCAAATTTGGTTTAACTTTCTTAACCTTCTATTAAACTTTAAAACCTTTTGTTTGATTGATACCTTTTTTAATCAATGACTGGCCTATTAAGATTTTTAGCTATGTTGGTGACATCCCTTTGTGGAAATTGTGGAAAAAATTTGTAGTTTCAATAAAAAAAAACCTTATTGTAAAAATTTTATGTAACATTCATATGTAAGTCTAAAGGCAGCCATAGACTAGCATACATGAGTGTTATTAATGAATGTAAATCCTAAATGACATTCATGTTTGACTCTAGCTTGTCAAACAAGAATGTACTATGCTCCACATCTCAAAGTCCCACCACGTGACCACGTACGGAACGCAGTCTTTTGAAAATTTGGCATTTAAGGCTTTTCAGGTTAGGTATCTGTCAAAGTATAGTCAACGAAAGAAATAATATGATGTTTAGGGGTTAAAAATGTATAAATCTTTATAACAATACAATAAAAATGGATGGTTTAAGAATATAAATACTGCATTTAATGAAATTATAAAGTGTATGGTGCCAGATAAGTAATATTTTTGTGCATTTAGTCCAAATATCTGATTTTCTCCATAAAGTAATTTTAACTAAACAGCATTTATTTAAAAAAATCTAGCTTCTTTATTATGGAATAAGAATATCTGTTTTAAAGGTAGGTTAAAATATTATAACAAAAATATCATCTAATTTTGTAATTTTAAGGTTAGAAAAATTTATTTTGACCAAAATAAATAAGTATTTTGGATTATTTAAAAGACTGTATATTATGGTATTTAAAAATGTGGTAGTTTTTCTTATCCAGCTTAAAGTGTACCTACATAAAGTTTTGTCAATACAAATAGTTAAAAAGCTTCGACTGAACTTGATCTACATCGAAAAATCCTTATAATTTTAAAAATTTTAATAAATCACATGTCATAGGAGTATAAAATATTTTCACATTGCAAGTTTCTCTAAAAATTGTTCGTTTTCTTATAATCTAACATAAAATAGGTATGCCGAGAGGTATGCACAAGTTTTGTCATTAGAAGTATAAAAGCTTCAATTTAATTTGAACCATATTCAACAATTATTTAGTATACCTATATTTATTTATGACCATATTAAGTTAATATTATTAACACACTCTTCCAAATAATCCACTTTTTTATTTTGGTCAAAATAGATTTTTCTAAGCTTAAAATACAAAATTAGATGATATTTTTTGTTCTAATACATTAACCTACCTTTGATACAGATATTCTTATTTTATAAGAGAGAAGTTAGATTTTAATAAATGGTGTTTAGTTAAATCTATTTTATGGAGAAATGTAGACCAAATGCACAAAAATATCACTTATATTGCACCTTACACTTTGGAATTTCATTAAATTCTTAAACCAACCATTGTTATTGTGATACTATAAAGATTTATTAACTTTTAACGCTTCAACATAAGCGGTAACACTATAAATATTATTTCTTTCATTGACTATACTTTGACAGATACATAACCTGAAAAGCCTCAAATTTCAAATTTTCAAAAGACTGCGTTCCGTCACGTGGTGGGACTTTGAGGTGTGGAGCATAGTACAATAGAAATTTTTAAGAATTTTTTATGAATTTTATTGTGTTTTTTACATAATACACATTTTACCATAGTTCTTACACTAAATTTTAAGTAACTTAAACGAAAATAAAAAAAAAATCTGGACCAACTAAATTGCTATTCTCTATCTTATAAAAGATAATTGTTTGTTTAATAATTATAATTTATTTTAAGGATGTTCAAAAGTTGTAGTTTTTTTTAAATTTCTCAAAATGGCGGCCTCTGGAATTTTTAAATGAATTTTGAGGGAAATCCGTCATCCTTAGGTTCTTAATGGTTAGAATATACCATATAAATTTAATCTTAATACATTAAGTGGTTTTTAAAATATAGTGATCCCCGTGTACGGAAACGCAGTTTGAAGAAAAACTCGTTTAAAGTTTCATAGCTGCCTATGAATAGTAAAAGAGCCCTACAGTTATTGTAGGGTATCTTTCAAAATATTTATCAAATTTTCGCAGAATACTTTTCTCCACCACTGGCCGATATGGTTACTTCCTTACCGATGCCAACAAATATACTCACCGGACCAAAAACTCGGCCACCAGAAATTGGTCACAATTTTAATGTTGATTTCCTCGCGAACCGTTCATATGATTTTAACGATTTGTTTTTGAATTGTAGGTTGACTCTTTAGTAAAGTTGGTATTATGAAAATTTGTATTCTGATTTTAATTTGAGCATATACAGGGTGTTATGTAATTAATGTTATATATTAAAATGGGTTGTTCCTTAGGGTCCATAAAGAAGCACCTGAAACTTTTTTTTTCTAAATTCCAAAGTCTAAAAATAATTTATAATAACCTTTATCCTACCAAAAAGTACACCACTGATCGACTAACAACTTTAGGCTATTCTGGTTGCCTAATTTAATTTAGTATGTTATGGTTGGTAACAACAGTGTTTCCAAAATCTGTCAAAGAAGTTGACAAACATTGTTTAAATTTAGCTTAATTACAAAAATGACAAAATTAACAATGCAAATTGTCAATTTGGCGTTTTTATTAATTGTTGGTTATGTCATTTTTGTACTGAAGGTAAATTCAAACAAAATCTGCCAACTTTTATGGCAGAATCTAGTGCATTTCTTTCAAATTTTAGGTTATGTGCTCAAATTGTAAATATCTTAACTAAGGGAAGTGCTTTTGGATTTATTTACACAAATTAAATGTTTAAAGTTTAACCTGTGAACTGGTCCCAATTTCATCTGAGTAAACAGAAAGAAAAAAACTGATGAAAATAATTTTGTGGTTATGGATTTTTTAAAATAGGTACTAAATTTTCTAATCATTGCTTAAGCTAATAGCTGGATGAGTAAATAAATACAGAAGGGTATTAGAGCTTTAAGGGCATAAAACTTTTGTATTTATTGAGTTTTTATTTATTTTTTGCAAGAAAAATTTTTAGTAACAATTTTTTACATCTGGCAACGCGTAGCTACTTTGTTGGTTGGTATCTATGTACTCACAGAATACAAGTGTGCAGAGATAAACCTGTGTAACTAGTGGCGTATCACAAAAAATATAAAAAACTTCTAATGCATATTTTTTCTTTATATATTTTTTTAAATATTTTTCCTTTATTCCTTATGTCAAAAGGTATTCAGTATTTTAATATATAACATTAATTACATAACACCCTGTATACATGTTTAGTGCAAAAGTAAAAAGATAACTTATTTATTTTTACATGCGAAGAGTTTATCCAGTGTGTAGATCTTTGTTGATAACGGAGATAATAACGCGAATTTGAATAAAAATGTCTGTCAGATGTAGTGTTTTAATATTTCCAGAAAAATTAAGCCAGCAGAAAAAACAGAAAATTTCTTGATAAAAAAATCACATAACTTTGTGTACAAGCTTGCACAAAACATTCCACATAGTCTTTACTGTTGCTTCTTTTAATTCTGTCCCATCTTTCTTCCTTATATTAACCGCATAAACTTTCAGTATTAATGCCAGTTCTTCTATGCTTATTTAACTCATAATTTTTTTCATAGCAAAACTCCAAGTGTATTAATGACTGTGGAATTTATTAAATTATCATTAAAATTTTTGCCAATTTCTGGTGATTGTATAAGAAGAAATATTGTACATCATGAAAATGCAAAAAAAAATGTTTGAACATTCAAATGCATGTAACCCCTTAATGAAATGCACAAGAATAAAACAACTAACCTTCTTCCGTTGAATGGATAATCTCCAACCGGAGACTGGCTGGCCCTTGGCGTCCACTCCTTGATGTCGGGCCGAGCGGGCAAAATGGCGGCCGTCTTTGAGGCGGTCTGTCCGGGCACTTGTCCTGCGAATTGAGGGCCTCTATTTCTTCTAAACCGTTTTCTCTTCACCTCTCCATTTGGCCCGATCAGTATGTCCTTCTCGCTCAATTGCCTTTTGATGGGTCGCATCACAGGCTTGCCAGGTATCACAGCAGTAAGGGGTAGCGGCAGCGTGATCGCGTCTTTGCTCTTGCGTTTCGACTTCGTGTCCTCGCACGTGGACCTCAACAGAGCCAAGAACGGGTTGTTTTTGCCCTCGAAATCTTTGAGCGGCGGAATGATCAAGTCCAGAGTGCTTTTTGAAGAGGTCTCGTCGCCCGAGGTGTCGCAAGGCGTGTGGATGTCCATGTCAGAGACGGTGGAGGAGAACTTTTTGCGCGAAGTGCTCTCCAGGAAGTCATTGCTCGCGTCCGACACCACCGAGGTGGTGTTGGAGGCGGGCGGAGTTGGCGGTGACGACACCGATGTCGGCGGCGTCAGTGGCAGTGTTTCGTTATTTTTGTTTTTACTATCTAAGCTTAGTCGTTTTGGGTACGCGCTTCTCTCTGATTGACTAGTCACTGCAAAAAATACAATTATGTTTGGACAGGGTTGGCATTCAGTGATTTAATTCGTTAATTAAATCCAATCATCAGTTTAAAAAAAAAGTTATGATCTTACCCCCAACTTAATTGTATTGGAAAACAGGTAAAAAATAATTCTTTTACACTTTATTTTATAATTTTTTTATTTAATAAAAATACTAAACCTCGCCAAGAAGGTAAGTAGTGAAAGGGTAATATTTTATATAGGAAACCCAATACTTTCATAGTGGTCGGAATTTTATTTTTTTTAATCAAATCAACCCTCGCAAACGCTAAGCCCCACCAACTTGAAAAAACAACTTAAGCTTTTCTTTAATAACTTATGAACCGTTTGTCGCACAGACTTAAGAGTCAATATTTTAATATTCGTAATTTGGAGCTACATTTTTGTAAAACCTATTTTGCTTTCCGATGCGCTGTTGCTTAAATATATTTTTCTACTTCCATTACGACATATGTTCTAATATCACTTTTTAATGTGGAATTACATAAATTCCTTAAAGGACCTTTGGCTCGTGTGACTGAAACTTTTCGCTAAAGCGGAATATGCCGTATTCCAAACTTGTTACAGAATATACCAACTAAAAAACCTTCTTCTTTTTTACCCCTTTTTGAATAAACAAAAAATTTTTTTGCTTAAAATTTACAATAAAATGACCATTTATTTAAGTAAATTGGTCCAGTGTAGGCTGGACAATTCACCACTTTTCGACGTTTCTTCAAAAATAAGATTTTAACCCTTATAATTTGTTGGTAGGTTACTTCCTAAGAAGTCCCAGAAGCCAACTGAATGGCTTGTGCGGGTTAGGTTTAGGAACGGACCGTGGGCTTAAAGTCCCCTCCGAAGGACTATTAACAAATTAAAGTTATTTAAAAATGTCTATTATAATCGGTATTAAAACTTTGAAATTTACTTACTTTTTTGTTCATGCAGTGTTGCATAATTAAAGAAAAAACAAGCTGCGTGATAATGCGAACTCCCGCGAAACTGTGCTCAGGACTTCAAGCTTAGATTGTCCAGTCCCACTGGACCAATTTAATTACGTTAATTAGTCAATTTATAGGAAATTTTTAGAGCTACTGTAATTTCAAGAGAATTTTCTAAAAAAAATGGGTAAAAAGGGAGAATGCAAATTTCCAAAAACATTGTTGCGTTTTTTGCATATATTTATGGAAAAACGCATCAATGAGCAAAATAAAAAATGTAGCTCTTAAAATCGACTATATTTTAAAAGTTTATTGGCCTCTGTGCGATAAGCGGTTCGTAAGTTATTGAAGATAAGATAGAATATATTCTATACAATTTATGCTTTTAAAAAAATTAAATTCAACTGCTGTAAAAGTATTGGGTCCACATACGCTTTTACTGGCGTAAAGTATTGGGAATTTCAAAAATTGCTAAATCTTCTTGAAATGGTATCAAGGCTTTTGTAGTTAAAATATTTTCCGGAATTAGGAAATGTAGAATTAAAATTTTGTAGTTTAAAATTAATATGACAAAATTATTCCAAAAATTACAATTATTAAAATATTTTGACCTGTATATTTTAATCAAATAAAAGGAATTTATTCATAGTCTTACTTTTTCCAACCCTGGCTTGACTAGATAAGAAATAATTTTAAAATAATGCAAATTTTAAACAGTACTAGTAGTAGTTTTGAAATATTTTAAAAAAAGTTATACATTTAATTTTGCAAAAAAAAAATTCAAAATACGAAAGTCCGTCTATAATGAAGGTGTCTAGGGCAGCAGATTCATTTAAAATGGAATACAACTCAGCTAAGATGTCTGCATTAGCAACCTAAACCGTTTAACCAAAAATAATCAAGCTCTTTGCTCCTACTAGCTACATCTCTTACAGCCAAAAACTTTCCAAACAGCTCTTACCTTCTCCTGTAGTAACCCTCCTCTTGGGTCTCTTAATTATTCTATCTCTGGTCATGGCCAGCAGTTTCTTTTTCCTCTGCAAACTCATCTTCTTAAAGGGCACGCTCTTTTTAACAGCACCTGTGTACTCCACACTCAGCAGGTCTTTAGTATTTTGTATGGTCTCAGGACTGGGACACGGAGAATCCGTCTCGGACATCGCGTTGTTCTCCTGATAGGCCATTCCCATCATGATGTTCCTCATTTGGGGATCGTCCAGCGTAAACTTCTCGTCTGTAGAGGGCACATCCAGCAACTGCAGACGGCTGTTTCCTCGCCAGAGGTCGCGCAGATCTTCCTCGGTGACCCGGCCGGCCTGCGGCAGGGTCACGCATGGTTTTGGAGGCGGCAAACGAACCCTTAGGCCCCATATCGTTGTGCGTTTTTTTATTTCGCGACCGCATTTGAAACGATTGCGGTTGTTTGTTAAGACCGACAAAATGTTCTCTCTTCTTTCAGACTTGGTGACATTTGCTATCTATAAATAAAAAAAATGTAAAAAATGTTGAAAACAATAGTAAATTGGTTATTAGTTAGTTTAGTATTAATAGGTTTTTAGTTTAATGTAACAAGTTGGCAACAAGAAGAAGAAGAAGATAAGAAAAAAAGAAAGTTGTTGTTGGTGATAATAAATTGTAATAAGTTGTATGAAATATTTGTGTGTGAATAAAAACACTTTTTAAAGTTTCTTGTGCCTGATTTACGACCTCCAACAGGTTATGGGCCCAGGCAGCATAAAAAGAACAAGAAATTTGGATTAAAAGTGAAAAAAATAAATAAATAAAAAATAATTAAAAATAAGATGGAACAAACACACATAACGCAAACCGTAAAGTTAAACGGAGATAATTGGGTAGTATGGAAATTTCAAACAACTGTTGTATTAAAAGGTAGAGAAATCTACAATATAGTATCTGGAATAATTAAAAAACCAGAAAACGAAGGAGATGACCAGAATAAATGGTTAAAAGAAGATGCAAAAGCACAAGAGCTTTTAGTTACTCGAATTGAGGAAGGACCGCTTACTTATTTGTTATCTTGTGAGACATCAAATGAAATGTGGTCAAAGTTGAAGTCAATATACGACAAGGAGTCGGTTGTAAGTGTGCATCTTTTGCAACAAAAATTCTTTATAATGGAGTTTGGAAATGAGTCTGTCTCAACTTATATATCAAAGTTAGAAGAAGTTAGAAATAAACTAAAACAAGCAGGGGAAACATTATCTGAAAAAATGGTTATGACAAAAATTTTAATGTCATTACCAGAGCAATATAAACATTTTCGTTCAGCATGGGAGTCAGTACCTGATGAGAATCAAAAACTGGAAGAGTTAACTTCAAGGCTATTACTTGAAGAAGAAAGAATAAGTTCAGCAGAAAGTAATATAAAACTATGTTTAGCATTGGCAAGTGCAAATTTAACTAACAAGCCAAATAACAAATTTATTGGAGGAAACCACAAAATAAAATGCTACAACTGTAATAAAATAGGTCATATAGCAAAACGATGTTTTAAAAGAAAAGAAAATTTTAAGAGGGAAAATAATACAGGAGTAAAAAATTGCATATATTGCAAGAAAATTGGTCATGAAGTAACAGAATGTTGGTTTAAAAAGAATAAAGAAGGTTTTAAGGAAGAAACAAACAAAAAACCTGACACAAATTGTTTTATAGGAACCTTAAGTAAAATATGTAATAATGACTGGGTCATGGATTCTGGCGCAAGTGAACATATGTGTTGGAACAAAGACATGTTTGGGAAAATTGAAGAAACAAGTATGGAAAGAAAAGTTAAAGTTGGAAATGGCGATTTGTTAAGTGTAAAAGAAATTGGAAACATAAACTTATGGTCGGTTATTCGTAACAAGAAAATAAAAACAACTTTAACAGATGTTTTGTATGTGCCAAAATTAAAATTTAACCTATTTTCAGTAGGTAGAGCTTTAGACAAAGGTTATATGATGAATTCAAATAGTGATATGTGTGAGTTAGTAGACAATAAAGGACAAGTTAGAGCTACAGCAAAACGTGTAAATAAACTTTATAAAATGAACTTTGTGAATAAAAATTTCGAAAAATACCATTATAGTGCAGATATCTTGGAACATACTGTACAAACTGACAGTTTAAATTGTCAAACAGCAGTACAGACAATTTTGAAGTTAAGTGAGTGGCATAATAAACTTGCACATCAAAACATTGATCATATTAAGGCAATACTTAAAATACATAATATGGAATATATAGATGACATAAAGGTTTTTGTTTGCATAAAATGTTTAGCAGGTAAACAACACAGGAACATGTTTAAAGACAGTAATTCAAGGGCAAAGAAAACACTAGAATTGATTCATGCTGATGTATGTGGACCGATGGAGACTACTTCACTGGGTGGAGCAAGATATTTTTTATTATTAAAGGATGATTATTCTTCTTATAGAAATGTGTATTTTATGAAGCATAAGTCTGAAGTGAAAGAAAATATTGACAAATTATAAGGTTAGCTGAAAAAGAGACAAATAACAAAGTAAAAGTTTTAAGAAGTGACAATGGTCTGGAATTTATAAATTTGGAAGTAAAAAGAATGTTAGAAAGGTATGGCATTCGTCATCATAAGTCAGTCATATACACTCCACAACAGAATGGTAGGGCAGAAAGAGAAATGAGAACGATTGTTGAAGCAGCAAGATCTATGTTACATGGACATAATAAAGAATTATGGGCAGAAGCAGTAAATTATGCAACGTTTGTTTTAAATAGAACAGGTACCAGTTCAGAAAAGGATAAATCACCATATGAGTTATGGTTTAGTAAAAAAGTAAATTTACAAATCTTTAAAAGTTTTGGATCAAAAGTTTCAATATGTATTCCTAAAGAAAAGAGATTAAAATGGGATGTAAAGAACAAACTTGGAATGTTTATAGGGTACAATGATGAAGTGAAAGGATGTAGAATATATTTTCCTGAGCAGAAGAAAGTTGAATTTAGTAGAGACGTTATATTTTTTCCAGAAAAATTAAATGAATTGGAAGCTGGAAATGTAGAAAAATATATAGAAAGTACAGATCAAGAAATAATTAATGAAGAACCTGAAAATGAAAATAAACAAGAAAACGAAACAAGTATTTTGGAAGATGAAGCAGAAATTGAAAATGAAAATAGATATTTTTTTAGAAGAAATAGGCAGAAACCTATAAAATTAAACGAGTATGATCTTGATACAAGTTTTCTAACAATTCTAAATGAAGAGGAACCTTATAGCTTTGAAGAAGCTATGCAAAGTAAAGAATCAAAACAATGGAGAGAAGCTATAGAAGCGGAAGTAAATGCATTAGAAGAAAATCAAACTTGGGAATGTGTAAAAGATTTAAACGGAAATAAAGCAATAGAATGTAGGTGGGTATTTAAGAGAAAGAAAGATGAAAATAATCATATTGTAAAATATAAGGCTAGGCTAGTAGCTAAGGGATTTCAGCAAACAAGTATGACAATGTCATCAGATATTTATAGTCCTGTAGCAAAGTTACCTTCAATAAGAATTTTCTTAGTATTATGCAATCAGTTAAATATTAAAGTCAATCAGTTTGATGTAAGTAGTGCTTTTCTAAATGGAGACATTAAAGGTGACGTGTATATATATTTACCAAAAGGTTTTAAAGAAAGTGAAGGAACTATTTGCAAACTAAGAAAATCTTTATATGGTCTCAAAACTTCGCCTAAATGTTGGAATGAGAAATTTCATAAAGTAATGTTATCATTAGAGTTTAAAAGATCAGAGTATGAATATTGTTTTTATATTAAAGAAACCAATAAATATAAAATATATTTAATAATTTATGTTGATGATGTACTTTTAGCAGGTACAGATGATATGGAAATATTGAACATTAAGATAATGTTAAATAAAGAATTTAAAATTAAGGATTTGGGCCAAATTAAATATTTTTTAGGTATGGTAATTAAACAAGATATGTTAAATAACAAAATTATAATAAATCAAACCTTGTACCTAAAGAAAATTTTATCCAAATTTGGCATGCAAGAATGCAAAGCTAATAAGACTCCAATGGAAATCAATTTTAAACATGATTGTTTAAAATTAGAAAACTTAAATATAGAAAACAGGTGTAGGCAAATAATAGGTTCACTCATGTACGCAATGTTGTGTACAAGACCTGATTTATCTAGTTCAATTTCTATTTTAAGTAGATATCAGTCTTGTGCAAGTGAACAATTGTGGCAAGCTCTAAAAAGAGTTTTACGTTATGTTAAGGGGACATAAGATGTAAGTCTTGTTTACTATTTAGAAAAAAACAGTCCTATAATTGAAGGATTTGTTGATTCAGACTGGGCAGGTGACAGAATTGATAGAAAGTCTACTACTGGTTATATTTTCAAATTTTTTGGATGTTCAGTGTCTTGGGCATCTCGTAAACAAAGTACAGTAGCTCTGTCATCGACTGAGGCTGAATATATAGCTTTAAGTTTAGCTGTTAGTGAAGCATGTTGGCTTCGATACTTAGTTAATGATTTAGAAATATGTCATAAAGATGTTTGTGTAACAATTTTTGAAGACAATCAGTCTGCAATCAAAGTAAGTAATAACCCTGAGTTTCACAAAAGGTTAAAACATGTTGATATTAAATTTCATTTTGTACGTGATAAAGTTCAAGAAAAAATTGTGAATATTGAGTACATAAGTACTGAAAACCAAACAGCTGACATATTTACTAAACCTTTGGGTTTTATTAAATTTAATAAGTTTTGTAAGGATATTGGTCTAGAGGTAGGACAAATTTACCATTGAGGGGGTGTGTTGAAAACAATAGTAAATTGGTTATTAGTTAGTTTAGTATTAATAGGTTTTTAGTTTAATGTAACAAGTTGGCAACAAGAAGAAGAAGAAGATAAGAAAAAAAGAAAGTTGTTGTTGGTGATAATAAATTGTAATAAGTTGTATGAAATATTTGTGTGTGAATAAAAACACTTTTTAAAGTTTCTTGTGCCTGATTTACGACCTCCAACAAAAAAAAACTTTAATATAATACTTGGAGACAGATCTGGAACAGAGGAGAATACTTTTTAGCAACTTTTGTAAAATCAAGCGTTACTATTAGAAAATATTAAATATACTTTATATTTAATCTTTACTACCTATTAGTGCATTGTGGGTTGAAAATTTAAGCAAAGTTTAAATATAATATATTACCCGCGGCGGGTTTTCTGTTAAATAATAATACGTGTGTAGCCATTGCTACTACTTTTGTACATTTTATATTACTTCACTACTACTTTTTTAAAACCTACAACTTTTTTATATTTCGTTTTTCAATGGCAAAATTATTTCAATATTACAAATTGCCACAGGAAACAAAAATATGGCAATATGAAAATAACCTTGTGTATTTTAAGATGAATAGAAGAATTAAAATTGCATTAAAATGACTCATTTGAAGATTTCTGGAATTTTGTTATTAGCAAAAAAAATTGTTTTAACAAATTTGACATCAGCATCGGTAGAAAGGAAATTTTTTGAAATAAAAAATAACCAAACCTATTATAAACATAGCACCTTGTTATACTTACTTGGTAAAAAAAGTTCAATAAAAAATCTATTTTAACGATTATGAAATAATTTAGTCATAATTATTTTTCTTTTAAACTGAAAATATTTTACGAAATTCCCAAAACTAAGAGATATATATAGCACTTTTTGCTAGGCCAATCAGATCGCGCCATTTTTATTGATCTTGTTGAGTTTATTTTACTCGAATTTTCTGAAAATAGTATTAAGTTATAAAAGACTTCAGATTAAATTTAAATTCTATAAACTAAAGGAATGAGGCATCATTTTTTACCTGTTTTCTGCTGCAATTAAATTAGAAGTAACATTTTAAACTAATTCATGACTTAAAAAAAGGAAGTAGAGTTGGCAAATGACCAGTCACATTGTGAATGTATACCGGCGCTTATAATGATCTGTATTTTTTAGATAATACTCGTAGCTTGCATCAAGGGCTTTTTAATGATACCAAATACTTGTGGTTTGGTTTAGTCATTAATTTGATTTAGTTATACATGTAATAGTTATTTACGTGTCAAGCTTTGTAAATGAATCTTTACGGGCGAGCTGGAAGTTTGTGGGTAAGCAACGCAGGAGCGAACCCATAATCCAGTGAGACTAGTAAAGATTAATTGCAAAGCGTGACACGTACAAACTTTTATTTTCACCTTTAGATAACGATTTTTAAATTAAAATATTTCAATTAATGTGTCAAATGTGTCATTTCATTTCATAAATTGCTTTTTCTACAAGCTTGTAAAACGTTAATTAACACATAATGTAGGCCTTTAAATTTAAAACTAAACCCGTTTTAACCACTACAGATTCTGTACTGTAGTACAGAACGCCTAGAACAGGTCTAGAACGCACAGTCTGTATCAGTCAGTTAGACAGGCTGAGTGACACTTCCTTTTTTTACCCCATATGCACAAACAAAAATTTGTTCTTTAAATTTTGTTGCTTTTGAAATTTCCTACAAATTAACCATTTACTAAATTGGTCCAGTGACTGGACAATCCACCACATTTGGACGTTTCTTTAAAAATAAGATTTTAACCCTTTACGGCCTTATAATTTGTTGGTAACAAATTTAAATATATGTCCATTACAAGCGCAATTTAATGGGTATTAAAACTTTGTAATTTTCTAACTTTTTTTGTTGATGCATTGTTGCGTAATTAAAGAAAATACACGCGAATGTACGATGCTCGCGATAGTGTCATTTAGATTGTCCAGTCCCACACTTTTTAGAGCTACAAAATTTCAAGAGCGGATTTTCTAAAAAAAGTTGTTGCGTTTTTTACATATGCATATATTTATGCAACAACGCATCAGTGAGCAAAATAAGTCTTATACAAGCTTTAGCTCCTAAAATTGACTATTTATTAAAAGTTTATTGGCGCTTCGTAAGGGGTCATCCATTAATTACGTGAGGCAGTTTTGGCGATTTTTCGACTCCCCCCCTCCCCTTGGTGAGATGTCGTGAGATTTTGCTCGACCCCCTCCCCCCTCCCTTATCTCACGTGAGATGATTTTTTAAAATGCATGGTTTTAATGTAAATAAGTTAATCTGTGATTGATTAAATTAGATTTATCAAAAAAAAAAAAACAATTTGCTTATAATTGTTTACTTAATTTAACCCAATTTTCTCGCAATTTTACACTGTTTCATTCGTAAAGAAAAAATTACGTGATATTTGTCGAGACCACCCTCCCCCCCACGTGAGATTGGGTGAGGTTTGGCTCGACCCCCTCCCCCCCTAAATACCTCACGTAATTAATTGATGTCCCCTAAGTTATTAAAACAAAAAGTTAGTATTTTTTTTATGCGCGGGGGTCCGAAAACAAAAATATATACAATTCAATTTATGCTCTTTCAATTAAAAAAAATAAATTTCAAGCGGTATAAAAGTATTGGCTTTTATTGGCCAAATTCTTTGGAATTTCAAAAATTGCTAAATGAAAAATCTTCTTAAAATGGTATTAAGGAATTCGTAGTTAAAATATCTTCCGGTGTTATGAAATATAAAATTTTGTAGTTTAAAAATAAAATTATTATGAATTTCCATGTTCCAAAAAATTACAAAAATAGATTTTCTTGTTTAACGTATTTTCTGAAAATAGTATTAAATTATAATAAAAGCCTTTAGAATAAATTTTATAAATTAAAGGGATGAAGCATCATTTTTGACCTGTTTTCTGCTGCAACTAAATTAAAAGTAAAATTATACATTTTTAATAATAAAGGACAGGAAACATTGAAATTTTAATTTAAAATTTATTTTTAAATACAAAATTTGAACGTTAAACATTTAAATTTAAAACTAAACCTGTATTTATAAATACAGAAAAATCACTGAAATAATAATCATATTATTTGTATTAGTTCCTACATAAATAATATAAACTTATGTTCCTTCAATAAATATTATTATTACAATTGTTACTTTTTTATACTATTCTGAAGATAGGATCTAATAATACTGTGGTTAAAATACTTATTTTTCTATGGTCTTATTACTAATACTGCTGTGGCAACCCTGATAAAGACGATGTAGGTGCACACTAGTCTGCCATACGTCCAGTAATTCTAGTTTGTTTGGCGTTCTGTTATTATAAAATGTATTATTATAAAATAACAAATTGTCCTTAAAAATAAAACCGTAGGTATTTTTAAATCGAATGTGTAATAAAAATTGAAAATATTTGCAATTAAATGATGGAAATAGCTTAGACATTCGTATTGTAATTCTATCGCTATAAGCGATAATCGTATGTCAAAAAATAGGTTTGTGACATTTTACATTGATGACGTTACAGGCAATTTATAAAATCCAGGTACCTATACAAATTATTAATAAGTTTAGTTTAATATTAAAACGCTCGGGCAAATTTTAAAAGGCAATTTTAGAAGGCAATTTTAAAAGGCAATTCAGATAGGAAGCAAAGTGGAATTGGTGCCGCTAGACGTTAGTCGATTAAAAAAAATTGGATTATGTAAAATAAAACTATATCGCGTAATTTTTCAAATGAAATCAAAATTTTGGTCTGAAACAGAAACATACAGAAACCTAAAATATTGAAATTAATTATTACCTTTGGTGGAAGCTGCAACGCATGCCAGTTATCTGTGATATAAGGGATCACTACACTGTCTAAATCATAATACTTTTTGCAGTTGTACACAGTCAAATTGAACAACATTAAATGTACCAAATCCACCCATTTGATTTCCAATCTTCTCAAAAAATCTTGACCATGATTGCATATTGAACACACATAGACATAAAACCTGTTAAAAGTTAAAACAAATGAATCATAAGGGAACTATTTGGTTTTTAAATTATTTTACCTATCACCACAATAAAGCGGATATTGCAAACAGTCTAAACACTTATCATGAAACCATTGCCTACATTTACAGCATTGCATCATTTGTTTATACCATTCTCCATTTTGCCCACAGTAACAATAAACTTGCTCTACATTTACTCTATGATATGTGTCCCATGTTAAGGAGTTAATCTAAAAAAGAAAAAATTGTATTTTGAGTTTTTTTAATATTAATTTTTACTTACATCATAAGGTAATATTTTGATTCCAACTGAGGAAGAAGCAACTTGAATTTCATTATGATTAGTTGTACTTTTTATACTTTTTTGTTGTTTTGAATCACTTTTTCTTAGTCTATAAGGTTCACTCTCAGTGCATCTTTTACACATCCACGTGGCTCCTACAAATTAAAATTTTAAACTTAAATTTGGCATGAGACGATATTGTTAAGGATTTAAACCCCCAGACCAGACTCAATCAAATTTTCAAGATTTATCACATTCCAAGTAACAGTTAACAAATCGTTTCTTGCTTAATTAAGACTTTTTATATTTTTCAAATTTAAAATGATAGGTATTATTTGAGTCATAAAAAGGTGTTGATATATATCATGATATTTAATAATTTAATAAATCACTGATGCCTAACAACGTGATGAGTTAATTATTCCCATTGTTAGGCGGGGAGTTTATAATGGTTACCATTATTAACGAAAAAACCCAAATGTCAATAATATGCAATAGGAGTAGAAAAAGTATAGTATGCAACTTGTTTTATAAACTTTGCAAGACACGTTTTTATTAAACACTCGCTCGCAAGGTTCGCTCGTGCCTAAAATGGCGTTTACAAAACTAAATACACAATATACTATTATCTTCAAGCAGTTCATAATTAAACTTTATTATTGTCAACATCTTTCAAACAATTTAGACCAATCTGGCAAAGTTTTTTACCCCTAGGCTAAACCTACCTAACCTCACTGTTTCCTTTAATAACACTGTAGGGAGGTGAAAATATCACAGCTAAACGCTCGGACACTTATTGCCAATAGGAAATTTTTAGACCTGATACAGCTAAACCGAGCACGGATTTAGAATCTACGGCCAAAAAGTATGTTTATGTGTTCGAGCGTTTAACTGTAATATTTCAAGAGTTGAACATTTACCTAGAGAGTAATTACCTAATATTATAGTTGTACGTTTAATGTATCAAATAAATTTTTGCCTCAAAGATAAAATGCTGTGTGCCATTCGGCTTAGAAGTGTCCTTTTGTACTTCGCTCAATTGTAGGCCTCCGCTAGGCGCCGCCCTTCAAACTGAGCACAAAAAGACTCACTTCTCAGCCCAATGACATAAATAACTATTTAATATTATGTACCAAGGCCAAAAAGTGACTGTTTTTGGATAATTCTTATTTTAATGGCCAAACGTTTGAAAAACAGAAATTAACATTAAATCAACAATAGTCGGCTCTGAAAACAATTTATAACAAATGTGGAGCACCAGCGTCCCTAGTCGGTAAACGTTTGGTGCGGTACCTTTCGCGAACGGCATTAAATGGTGAAAATTACCGGAATTTTCTAGAAAACGATCTGCCAGGCTTCTTCCTGTGGGGTTACTTGGAAGAAAAAGTTTACGCTGCAATTCCTAGAACTCGGGAGGACATGGTGGAGCCAGAATTCATTACCCGCATTCAAAAAGGTGTCGAAATGAAAGGATGACATTTTGAACATTTGTTATAAATTGTTTTCAGAGCCGACTATTGTTGATTTAATGTTAATTTTTGTTTTTCAAACGTTTCAAATAATACATTTTACAAGGAAACCCAATTTTCTTAAATTTTGAATTTCAGCGCCATCTGTTGATAAATTGAAAAAAAGTTTCAAATAAAAGTTTTTCATTTTTTTATGTACTACCAAAATCTGTGAAAAAATCGGGTCATTCCATTTGACTTTCTAAAGTTACCCCTCGTTTCACCCTTAAGGAGGGGGCTAGCGGTAGCACCAAATAATGTCCCCTTTGGTCACATTAACCTTTAATATAAGCCTTTTTCTGTGAAATGCGTATTTCACGAGATATTGAGCTGTCTCAAGTTAAAAAAAAACACCTATTATTATAATAATATAATATTATAATAATTATAATTATAATTATATATAATAATATAATATTATAATAGGTGTATAATACTAGATGTAACTACTCCACATAGATCCAACCATTTGATTCAAATGCGCAACATTTTCGGCGTAAAAAGTCTTACTTTATTAGTGTGGTCTTGGCACACATTTTTTTTTATTTCCAGTTTAAATTTCTATATAAAAGAATATAAACGATTTAGTATTTCTTTCCAAATAATTTTTGTATTCATATTTAGGTACCTTTACCACGAGAGAAACGAGACGAGACAAGAGAAAGGCACTCTCGAGCGAGAAAAGAGTATTCTCGACGAGACGAGAGACCCATTTTCTCTCGCTGCACGAGACGAGACGAGAGAAGGACTTTTCTCGTCTCGTCTCGCGGCATCCCTAATCAAATACTTTGGTAGGGAGTGTTGACAATAATAAAGCTTAAATTATAGAACGTTGAGGATAAAGCTTAAATTATAGAACGTTGAGGATAAATAGTATATTACACTACACTTACACGAAAGTTGAATTTTCGGAGATTTCAACGTTTGGCCCGTGTGGTGTATACTATTTTTCTTCATACATCGGTCGAAAGTACTTACTTTCGTCCCTAATAGCAGGGACGAAAGTTTACCTCGGTCGAAAGTACGTACTTTGTTTCTTAACAGTGGAGTAAATGTTAAACTTTCGTTCCTGCTATTAGGGACGAAAGTAAGTACTTTCGAACAAAGTATGAAGAAAAGTATTTTTTTATGTTGCCCTTTTTAAAAAGATTATTGCAATTTATTGGGTGGCATATTAAATTTAGTTAACACTTTAATTAAAGGGGTCAGGGCAATAAGGGATCTAAGCCTCATTGGAACAATATTTATTAGACAAAGCTTAAAGTTTTCATATAAATCTTAAAATAAAAAGTTTTTTTTTACTTTTATGTCCTTAAATGCAAATTAAACGACTTATTAAAACCAATTAACAAATCTAGGGATTAAAATGAAAACTTTTGTTTACTTAATATTTTTCTAATGAGGCTTAGTTCCCTTATTGCCCCGACCCCTTCAATTATTGTTTTAAGCATTTAAATTTAATAACTTATTACTTTTAATTATTTATTTTAATTTAAAATATTCAACATTTCGTGCTTAGTGTTTTATTTTTGAAAAAATCTGTAAAGATTATTTATTTCTTAGACAAATAGTTAATATAAAATCATACCGTAAACCGTAAATATGAAAAAAAATTACAATAGTATATATTAAAAATTTAAAATGGCAGTGCTTATTAGCCTTACTTACATAGTAAGTAATTTGGATGACATATTTGAATTACATTACATTACACAGGTCAAAAAAGTTATTTTGTTCTATTTTTCCGCACGCGACTGCTGTTCATCAGTCGAGAACGGAAAAAACACTACGCAAGTGTTAGGTGCAATACTTTTTCTACAAGAAATTGAATCTAGCAATTTTATACAAGGTGTTTTAGTTTTTTTCGCATAACTTAAAAACCTGACAAAACTTAATGCAGAAAGTGTCTTAGATTTTAATTGGGAAAATTTAGAAATTTACAGAACATGTATGCTTTAAAGTTTTGTTTTCAAGATAAAGGGTTTAAAAGTTAATAAAAAAATGATAGTTGATATTATACTCGTACCTATTTATTATTATTTTTTCTTCATCTTGCTTAGTATTAAAAAAAAATTAAACTTGTTTATCTGCTTGTTAGGTACCTACCATAATTTTTCCAGGAGCGAGCAAATAAACAATTTTATTTCTAGCTGGAAATTAAACAAGATAGAGAATAAATGCAGGAGACAAAAGTTGTATTTCGAATTGCTTAATCCAAAAATAATATTAAACTTAAAAGCATTAGCGTTCCAATTTTATTTTTAAATATCTAGTTAGGATGGATTAAAAAAATTAAATTGTATTTACATTAAATTAATCCCTTTGTACATTACTAAAAACCTGACAACTTTTATTAAATTTGACCAAGGAGTTCTCAAAATATTTATTTTTGTAATAACTTTACCACCCTGTATCTTGAAAACTAAACATACAAGTTCATATTCTATAGACTACTAAATTTTCCCTATTAATATCTGAGACACCCTGTATAAAAATATGTCATCAAAAGCTTAGTTTTTAAAATATTGAGTGTTTAAATTAGGTTTTGAAAATAGAATTTTTAAAATAAATTTAAACAAATTTTGATGTATTGCATTTAATGGTATAAGTACGGGCATAGAAATATTATAGTATTAGTGTAGTCACTATGGATTAAAATGACCATAACCTTTCAATAATTGTAAATTTTGTCTTTTATAATAAAGAAAAAGGATTACCTGAACTTTTTTAACCAAAAAATTACTCTTGGCAAAATCCATTCAAGGAAGCCGTTTTTGAGATAATTGTATTTAAAGAGTATGTTAATACAACATTTTTAAAAGTTAGCTTTTGGTAAATTTATGTAGAGTATGCTTTTAACTGTATGGTCAAATGCCTCTCTATAATTTAAAAATGTGTTTGACAAGCCAAGTTATATTAATAATTATTATTAATTATTAAGGTGATATGGGACAAAAATCTGGCACACCATGAATATCATATTATACATAAAGTTTATTTATTTAGGTACCTTCTTTGAGACAATAGGTGGGAATTTCTGGCTGATGACATTTTTGATGATACCCTCTTCCACACTGATCACAAACTCTGCTATCATGCTTGCTTTTTGGGGATGACTTTTTACATATAACACATAATAAATATTCAGGTTCTGTAGTACTTAATTTAGTTAAATCTTTGAAATTTGAAAAGTAACTTGTATTGTCTCCATATTTCACTAAACACTCTTCACGAATTGGATCTACCTCCACAATTGTTCCAAAGTAATACCTTCCATCTTTTTGCTTAACTAACACTTCCAATCCTGATTGAAAGTCAAACAGTTCCTTTTCAATGGGAGTGGTGGAATCTGGCTCGTCTTCATCACTGCTTTCCTGTGACAAGTCCACATTGCTTTTCCTTAATCTAGTCGAAGAGAGCAGATTTACTGCTGTAGTCATTTTTGGTTTTTAGTCAGGAGACAGCTTCACTGAAAATAAGATGCCCAAGCTCATTTTACTAGAAAATTTGTAGTACCTACTATTGTTTCTTAGTTTTAGTATTGTAACTGAATCGTCTTTCAGGGGAAATTTAGCAAAATACGACAAATAACATGATTTTAACAAAACGTACAACACAAACAAGTTTTTGACTTGTGGTTGTGCATGTAAAGGATTTTCTAAAAGCAATCTAAATTAAAAGCATTCAATAGGATGTTATGCAGCATTTCCAGGGCATTGAATAACAAGTAAATTACTTACATTAAGCTGAGTCCTCGTACAATATTCAGGTCCATTCAAGTTGCATTACATTACATTTGCGGCCATTAGCAGAACTGATTGTCTAAAACCCGCCAATATCAACGTCTTCCAAAATTATAATAGAAACAAGAATTAAACATATTTGGTGCTTTACTGTTTTTATTAGTTTTTATAAGTGATTCATGACTTTTAATTTAAATTATTATTGTAATTTACCAAATGCTTTTTAATTATATTTTGAAATTTAACGGCACCAACATTGACTTTTTAAGTTGATAACAGATGTCACTAAAATTAGTACCAACTGATAAAAACAAAAGTTACTGGAATTTGAAGGGGATTCCAAAATATACAAGGAGTTCTTTGGAGTTACTTAATTTAGAACAGAGATAAGTTTTAAAATGTGAAGGGTAGAGAGGAGATACTACATTTAAAAAAACCCGGTTCTAACAGTTTAAATTGGACCGCAGCGAAACAATCAATAATGCGTATGCATTATGCATTTGAATTAAAATTGAACCAGCTTTTTTATAGTACCTAATTACTAAAAACCTCTATGAAGGATCTCTATAATAATTACTACTAAAAGAAATGGTATGGTATAGAGGGTGTCCCAAAATCACCGGACCCAAAGAAAGGGGTCGATTCCTTGAGAGAAGCTAAAACAAAATAAACTTTTTTGAATTCGCAAATTTGCAGTAGTGAAAGCCGTGTTCTGTCACAGAACATAAGTGTTCTGTGCCGCCAATGAGGAGGCCAGTGTTGCCAAACGTACGATAATTATCGTAAATTTCATTTTTTTTATCTGGACTGCGGCAACGTTGCAAATTTTAGGTTTTGGTTGGTAAATAAAGAACCAAAATTGGTCGCATTGATTAAAACAAAGTAAGCTATAGCTATGAGCTATCAAGGATCCTTGATGAGCTATCAAGGATCCTTGATAAGCTATGGTTATGTATAAATTGTAGGATACATTGTGCCAACTGCAACTCAAGTTGAGTTGTCGAAATTCGTAGTTAAAAATGCAATTAATTTGGCTTTGGTGGTGCTTATTTTTAAGTATCTCAAAAATTTTTGATCTGCTTAGCTGAAAATAATGTCTGATGTAATATTTATAAAACCAAATTCGTTACTTTTTTCCAAAAATGTCCATAAGGCGATGTACTTTTCCTTCCATTGTGGCATTTGGTATAATTTCATCAAAATAAAGTTTTGCCCTCAGAAGGGCTTTTACATTCGAATTCGTTGGCATAATAATTATTATCGTTTTATTTATACAAGTAAATTATCAATAATACATATTATAGTCAATTTGACAGTGTCAAAGTATTTAATTAAATTCTTCTAAGTTAAATTCTTTAGCACGAGTACCATTTTTAAATACTAAAAATACTAATTCAAACTGGCATAAGCCACCAAACAAAAAAACACGAGTATAAAAAAAGAACTTTACCTGTACGATATACGATAGCAAATGTACTATCGTAAGCAAAAATACGATAATTTTGAAATAAAAAAAAAAAGAACTTTACCTGTACGATAATTTAAGTTACTTTACGATATACGAAAGCAAATGTACTATCGTATCGTATCGTATCGTATTTCAGCATAAACTTTAACATAAATATTCTTTAAAATATTTATATTTTGCATATGCGAAGCACAAACCATGCGACATAGAAAAAGGATATGCGATGCGATGCGAAGGTTGGCAACCACAGGTTGGCAACGGTAATATTTCACAAGTGACATTTACCGGGGGTCAATACCCTTTGAAAGTATAAAAAATCAAAGTGACTAGAAGTACACCGGGAGTACCGCCATTAAACGTACACCGGGTGGAAAAAAATCCTTATCTAGCATATTTGTCAATTGATTAATATTAAATGGTCGCTCAATGGGGCGGGGGGCCCAATGGGGCGGGGTCGGTTGGGTTGGGTTGTTGAGTTTGGGTTGGTTTGGGTAATTCATACTAACATTTCATTAATTTTGTTCTTAATTGTATTTCAATCACTTAATTAAATTTTAATCAGTTTATACAACTTGAAAGTTAGCTTAATAATTACATAATTAATATGAAGAGTTACCCAGCTGTTTACCAACCGTTATACAACTGGGCCTTAGTGTACCAATTTAATCTCAACCATAGAAAAAGGATATCTCAACTAATAAATCCGAAATTTTACCATCAGCTCATGATACCAACATCAGCCATCAGCTGTTATGGAAATACGCATGCGCACAAACCTGATGTACTTTTAATGCCCGTACTCCCGGTGTACTTCTAGTCACGGCGATAAAAAATAGTTAATTTATTACAAAAATATTTTTTTATTCACAATTTTAAGTTACATGTAATATTTTTTTATGTTAAACAGAGTTCAAGTTATTTTTACGTCCTTGTATACAGGGTGTTTTACCAGCGATGGTACCTTAGACGTTTACGGAGAACGGCTAAGGATATCAATTTGAAATTTTTATAGCAATTATTGTACAATTTAATCTACCTTTTAAAATTATTTTCCCTCTTCCGGTTTAACCGGAAGCGACATCAACTTGTTATTTTTTTATTTTTAAATTCCTCATGAAATTCTTAATGAAATTGCTGTACCATTCCCTATACCTAAACTTAATACTTTTCGAGTTATTAATTTTTTTCGTAAAATTTTTACAGTTGCACCTTCATTAAAAATTGCTTTTTTGATATTCGGTTTGCTGGTATGCTGTAAGGATTTTTGGAATCTTAAAACATTGTTTTAAAGATTCCATGTCTGAAACCATGGAGCCTACACAATTGTGTAAGGAGCCCGAACTTAAACGAGACGCTAAATGCCACTGGCGGCTCCTCTTACTGCGCATGATCGCTTAATTGACAAATGTGCCGCGATTCGAAATAATTTTTTTTTTTTTAAAGGTTTATTGGCTTTTAGTCTTTTCGACTATTTAGCCAGCTCATTATTGTATATTTTTGTGCTCTTAAAAACACAACACCCAAGGCTGTGACCGGGAATCGAGCCCGGTACCGTGGTTAAAGGCACGTTAGTTACGTCATAAAACCAAACCAACTAGCGGATGGCGACAGTCGGCGAGATTTCTAAACCTACTAGACTTGTGAATGGGTGTAACGCTATTGGTTTAAAGAGGGTCACGTGACTTTGTCAGGTGTGGCCTGTCGCATTTTGTTCAAGCAGATTTGTTTATAATAACCTTAAAATGTAATAACGCCAAAATTGAAAAAAAATGCGAATTAATTACGATTTGACAATTGATGAGGATCATAAAAGGACGGTAAGTTAAATTTTATTTTCATTTAGTAATGGCAAGGTTTTCTTAGTTAGACTTTGTTAAAAAACCTTTATTATTATTTATTATTAGTCTTGTTCTTAGTTGTGATGGGTTCTTTATGTTGTTTAATTCTAGTTGTGTGAAATATTGCCTGGTGGTGGTGATGATGATCCTTGTAATTATGAGGGTTTAGTAATTAAAACAGAGGCTTTGGTAAAGGGTTTTTCTGCTGTAATCCGATTAAATGTTAATAAAAAGGAGCAAGCTTTGAATTGGCTTAAACATTTACAAGAAAAAAGTAAAATAACTTTTAGGGTAGAAAGAACGCATGCAGAAAATACTGAAAGAATAATATTTAAGGTTAGAATACTACCATATTTATTTATTTATTATTTATGTTTATGTACATTTTTTGCAGAAAGAATTCCATTGTATTCATGACACTAAACCCTCGACTAAACCATCAAGGAATTCAAAACCCCATGAGAAGCATTTAAATTGCAATGCCAAATTAACCATAACAATAAAGAATAAAGAAATGAAAAGGTTTGTTGTACTTGCATGTTTTTTAAAAAGTCTGTAAAAAATTCTTAATATCGCCGTTTTTTCTTGTAGAAGTAAGGATGAATTTTTGAAAAGATATCCTTGTATAATTCTGCTGAGGCACAATCACAACCATCCAATATATAGTTCCTCTTCTTTGAGGTTTCGACCACCATCCGAACAATTACAGAATGAATTTAGACTTTTATTTGAGAAAGGACATTCCCCAGCAACTGCATTGACAATGATTAAAGATAAATTATTGGAGGAAAATGGTGACAAATATCATGAAATTGCAGCTGATGGTGGTAGATGCCCAACTCAAAAGTGGGTGTACGATTTATATTATGAAATTTTCAAAAAAAGTATGGGGAACCAACTGGAACAGAAATGATTGATTCAATGGAAAAGGCAATTAAAAATTATAACACAAAGTGTGGGAGTGAATGTGCTGCCATTAAGAAAACAGACAACTTAGTTATTGCAATTTGCAGCCCAATTATGAAAAGGGTGCATAATTATATTCGAGCATCGAGTGAAATTATGTTTGTTGATTCTTCAGGAAACATGGACAGGCATAATACCAGAGTGTTTTTATTTTTATGTCCCTCAGTTGCAGGTGCTTTGCCCCTAGGTATTTTAATGACATATTCTGAATCTGAACAGGTTATCACTGCCGGGATTGAACTATTAAAAGGACTTTTAGATAAGCAATCATTTTATGGGCAGAAATATCCACAAGTAATAATAACTGATGATTGTGATGCTGAACGCAACAGCTTAAAATTTTGTTTTAAACACTCATCTGTAATACTGTGTAAGTTCCATGTGCTTCAATCAGTAATGAGATATTTATGGAATAGTAACAATGG